TTACGGCGACGGAGGGCTGCCTCACTACGCAGACGTTTAGCCATCGAATAGAAACAAGCAAACTACATTAGGTTTTCATTTGACCTCTACTACATGCTTCAATTTTTTTTGTTAGAATTTTTGCATGCCGGCTGCACGTATCCTTCGTAATACGAAGTTCGTATGCCATCGTGAATCAGGATTCGTAATGGGCACGTCAGGTGTAGTATACTATACTAGTATGACTCCGTTGACTCCTATTTCTCATTGTAACACTCATAGACACGCAAAACAGAGCAATCTCACGAAACGGAAAGAAAACTACTGAAACGACACACGATGAAACACACGCCTATGTTGGGTCAGTCACTGAGCACTGATCATCAGTGTCCCTCGGCCTTCGTCTTCTTGGCGGCACTAGCCTGAGGGTGGCTTTCAGACCCTCTCATGATATTCTGATCCTTCGGTCCCCAAGTTTGATGCCAAGATGAGTTGTCGCTAGATGACCAGGATGTCATTGAACCACCCTTGGGGCCCATGCCACCCTTGCTCATTGCTTTGCCAACGCCTTTTCCAGAGCCTTTACCGTATCCTTTACCCTTATAACTCCAGGGAGGAGTTGCAGCACCTCGATACGCTTTCCTCCCTGCGGCCTCAGATAAGCATCTATCAAAGAAGCTTCTGAACTGACCCTCGGTAAAGCAGCTCCACAGAGGAATACCCGACATAACTCGCTTCGAGATAGACCTTCGATACTTAGCGTCGGCCTCAAGAGCATCGCGACAAGATGACTCATCAGCCAAATAGCCAATCTCTAGTTGATACCTCGAAAATACGGTGCTATTCTGAGCGCACTCAGGATCTACGACCATAAGTGCAGTTGAATATCTGGCGAACTGCATCATCCACTTGCCCATGCTGAACCTGGGGGTAGGATTCTCTTTGTCCTTGCCCTCTTTCACCTCCTCTAAAACCACTACTACTGACCCAGTTACCGTGGGCCGGATGCGTTGCTTCGTTGCCGTCCCTGCATGGGACTCGCATGGGAC